GTTAATAAAAGGTTACATGACTGTTGCTGGATAAGGAACCAATAAAATTAGAGTAACAGATTGTATATTTTTAAGGAAAATCAGAATCTCTTTTTTCTTAAGTGGATGAGTTAGCAAGATAAAGCCTCCATAAGATGCTCATAGGAGTACTTAGTATGACTAATTAATCCCTTCCAATTTAGGCTCTAACTCTGAATGTGAGGCTAAATTCTCTCATTGTAGGTAGTGGTGCTACTTTTTTCTACCATCTAGGCAACCAGGAAAAGGGGTAATGGGTTAAAACTTAAACAGGGGAAGTTTAGATTGGATATAAGGAGGAAATTCTTCCCTGTTAGAGTGGTGAGGCACTGGAATGGGTTGCCCAGGGAGGTTGTGAATGCTCCACCCCTGGCAGTGTTCAAGACCAGCTTGGACAAATCCTCGGGTGGCATGGTTTAGTGTGAGGTGTCCCTGCCCATGGCAGGGGGGTTGGAACTGGATGATCTTAAGGTCCTTTCCAACCCTAACTATTCTATGACTCTAATTGTACATACCTATTAGAAACTGTGTATCTAGGTTTCATATACTCTCCATCCGTTTCTTCATGTATTCTTAAACCAGGGAAATTTGTCATTAATTTATGTGTCTGTGTTATTGCCTTGAGTTGTTTTAGATAATTGCACTAACTTTATTAAAACCTTTCACCATAATTTCTTTTCCACTTTTTATGACCCAGAGATGGCCAAATGTCTTTCTTACCAAAAAGTTGCCTACATGAAAGATGTGTAAGTCTGTAACCTTTCTTTTCTATCGATCCACGCTTAAAAATTGATGATAAATAAACCTAACAAGTATTCTCCATAACAATTCTAATCAAGACAGGAATAAATAAAGCCAGGAGTGGTCTGTACCAATAGATACCTCAGAATAACTGAGATTGGGGCAGGTAGTGGTATAGCAGTCTTTGTATACAAGGGTGCTCCTCTCAGATATTTGAGCATCTAGTTCCTCGGTCTTGGCTCTGTTTTACTTGTCTCTTTTCCTGCCATGGTGCATTGACCTTAAGGGGTTGGAATGCAATGAGACGAAAAGCTCACAGATCGAGATGAAGACAAAACACCCACACAGGGTTTGGCCCTTTCTTGCACATGGTTTCCCAGAGGCACCACCAGCATCACTGATGGCTGCACTGCACCCTGCAGTGGTGCTATGTGGAGCTGGCACACTGCAGCCCTGGCCTCCCCTCACAGAATTCTGTGAAGAAACATTCTTATCAGTAACAAATTGGAAATTAAAATTAGAAGGCAGTTAACAACTAAAGAACCTGTATTAGACTTTGAAGATAATTAAGTACTAAAAGATATCCCAGATTTACTTATGAAAACTTTAAACTTATAATGTAATTTTTTGTGGGCCATTGGCTGACTGGCTGAAAAATAGAAATAGACATTTATATGCAGAGAAGGAAGGTGGCTATTCAAAACCATTTCACCAAAAGTAATAAATAAATGAAAACAACCATTCTCTGAAGAGAAACCTTTGAAATTACTTTAAGTAATAGTAAGAATGAGACTGGTTATATTTTCCTGTAAATGTTGCTGACTGCAGAGTGGAAGGCAATCAAAACATATAAAACAAAGCAGAGTGCTTAAAACAGGTTTGCACAGCTTGAATAAGTTTACTATTCTGGTAATATAATTATATTTGGGGTGCTGACAAAGATCCTGGCTTCAGATATAGTGAAAAAAATTGGATGGGAAGTCAAGAAGTATCTTTTGAAAAGGGAGAGTATTGAGTGTTTACTTAGACAAATAGGCTAAAATCTGCTCCTGACTTCAGTTTTCAGTTTTATATTCCTTTTCCCTGTTTTATTGGTGTGCTTAATTTTGTCAACGTTTCTTAGTTTTACTGGATGCAGTAGCCAAGGTCTGCTTTGTAACAGTTCTCATACTCCTGATTATCTTTTGTTGTTTGTATGCATAATTTTGTCAAAAATGAAATTGGGATTTAGCCTTAAGTGTTCCTGAAAATATGACTGGATAGACTATGATGAACAGAACTTCATCATTATGAACATGATTCTATAACTTTTAAGTTGGGACATTGAAAGCATAGTCAATCTTCTCAGGTTTTCACATAATAAACAGCTGCAGAGCTCTGCAGGTTATTTTTTTTTTGTCAATTTGTTCAAATCTGTCTTTATACTTACCACTTATGTTGTTATAATCAAGTAGAAACCCAGATACTTTCTGAATGTTCAGTTGCAATCTCTTGTTATCAAAAGAATGAATGCAGTACCTTTCAAACATCAGTCAAGTTTTACATGAAAACTAGATAGACTTTCCTGCCTTTCTTTATTGAAAGACTGAAATCTCACTCCTCTGACAGTTAGGCACAATCTAATTTTCCACCCATTTTTTGTGCCAATATTGTCTTTCACTTGAATGCTTCTTTCCTTTGCATGTGTTGTTTTTTTTTTTAAACAACAGTATGTTTTTGTTGTTTTTCTTTGTTGCTTCTTTTATTGTTGTTTTTTCTGGTTTGTGAGCAGTGGGACTTTATGGATTATTTTTGTAGGATTTTTTTGGTTTTTTTTTATTATACAAGATAAGATCTAAGGCAGCTTCTTTTACAAACTAGTCATGTAAGGATAGATGGTCATAACTTTGGTGTTGCAGGCTTTTGTTTTGAAAATACAGTAGAACAGTAGTTTTAAATGCAGCTGCTGACTTAAGCTGTAATGCCTGGAAATTATTGTGCAGAGATTAATCCTTTGTCATCTTAATAAAATGAAACAGAGATCATGTATCTATTCCTATGGGCCTGTCATAGGAATAAAGACTGATTTGAACAAATTGACCGAAAAATAATGGTGATTTTTTTTTGGCCATTGGTTTCAGACACAGTGGTCTTGATAATAATAGCTGAAAATAGATGAAGAGCAAATTATCTTGAATTTGAAAATGAATTTGCTGGAATTTCACAGAGAAATATTACTATTCTTGTGTTTCCCAAAGCAATTAACATAGTTTTGACGAGTCAATATTGACTAAGATAAAGTGTTTTGCTCTAGACCTCTCAGCTCAGAAAAAACATGGACCTATTAGAGTGGTCCAGACGAGGAACACAAAAACGCTCAGAGGGCCAGAGCACCTCTCTTATTGGAGAAGGGATGAGAGGGCTGGACTTGCTTAGCCTGGAGAAAAGAAGGCTCCTGGAAGACATCCCCATGCCCCATCCCTGGGAACACTCAAGGCCGGGCTGGGTGGGGCACTGAGCTATCTGATCTAGTTGAAGGTGTCCTTGCTTACTGCAGTGGGGCTTGAACGAGATGACCTTTAAAGTTCTCTTCCAACCCAAGAATTCTGTGATTCTTTTTCTCAGCAGTTTCCAACTGTATCTAAAACTATCTAGCTTTAATATAGCTCAGTAATAAGACTGCACTTTCCTTCTTATTCCCCATCACATCATATGCAATCCAAAGAATACTACAATGACTTTAGAGTACAGAGTTGAACAAGCCCTGGATATTGAAGGGGCATGTACCCCTAAAGCTTCAGCTGTGCCAGTGCCACATGTATGAGTTGACTTCACATCAGAGTTTGCTTTTAAGCTGTTGAACTATATATCTAGTAAAAAGTAAGGCTTAGGAAAGGCTTGCAAGAACAATTGCTCAAGAAGTGAGGATAAGCAGCGAGAAGAGGTTAGAATGGACTGTGACACTATTTACAAATACTCTATATGAGTAGATAGTGTACTCTTCACAAATACTCCTATTCGCACCCGGCACATTGGATTATAAAAGTGGAATGTATTTATAAGCATAACAAAATACAGGCAGATGTGATAATAAGCTATCCATTTTAATAAGGGATTAGAATTCTGACCTAATTCTTTCCCAGTAGGCTTTATCACTAACTTATAAATAACTTACAGGTATAAGCATGGCAATGAAGAATAAATTAACAGTATAAACAGAATACTCAGAGATTTCCAGCCCTGCTGCTGCCACTTTTCTCAGGGAAAGACTGGAAGAGAGTGATATTAGCGTTTGCTCTCAGGTTCATTTTCTGTCTGGCTTAACTCCATTAAAGACTTGAGTCTGGGGATGCATAGGGTAGGTGAATATGAGAGCTGTGTCTCTGATCTGTTTATTGCTGTGTTTTACTGATTTGCTTTACTGCAGGTACAGCATGCACTTACAATCTCATTTGGCCTTTTCTATTATCTAAGACGTTTCGGCATGCTCTGCCCTAGCAGCTGATTAAGTTTTGGTACCTCACTGTGATTTTACATTGCAAGCAGATTGGAAAGTTGAGATATACAGTATAGTCTTTCTTGCCACTTTTTATTAGTAAAGGAAGTACAAACAAATCTTCAGGTGCCTATATCGGCTTTACATTCAACAAATGCTTTTGTTCATTGGGATGTGAGTGTGCATATGTGTATATGTATCTGTTTATATAAGACCGTGTTTGTTGTTGTTTCCATATCTTATTAGAAAATCTGGAGAACTGCCAAAGTTACCTAACATAGTACTTCATAACGTTATCACTGAGCAAATGTATTTAATATGTCTAATGTGTTCTAACCTTCAAACAACAACAAAAAAATGCCGTTAGCTGAGCATTAGGTGATATGTCAGTTACACCGCGATAGTTCTGTATGTGCCCACTCTAAATGTGCTTGAAAAAAGTAAAAAAAACAAAAACAAAACCCAAAACACCCAAATGGTCACATGATTAGTCTTCAATTTATAGGTGGTCTTTTTCCTCTTACACTTTAGTAATTTTTTTCTTCAGGGAATCTGGCATTTTCAAGTTGCCACAGGGTATCTTTATTTGAATGTACATCTTCCTCTTTTGCTTAGGTTGAAAATCTGCTCTGAGCTTAGTCCAAAAGAATGGGCTGAGAGTGATATCCTTGGCAAGGTTTGATTGCAGCACCTATGTTTTTTTTCCTTACTCTTTGCTCACTGTGATAGCGAACTAATGAATACACTCCTCTTTTTGTTCATACAGCTTGAAGTTGAGATCACTGATGTAAATGGGAAAATCATTGATGGTCCAGTCCGCCTAGAAGTTTTAGTTATTGATCAAAATGATAACAAGCCATTGTTTAAAGATGGACCCTACGTTGGCCATGTCATGGAGGGATCCCCCACAGGTAAGTCTATGCCAATCATATTTCTGCAAATAATGGCTGAGCAAATTCTGTATTGATAAATGCACTGTTTTCATATTGTACAACTTTTCTTGCTGATTTTGTGGCTCACTGAATCCTTCCCCCATCTAAAGAGGTGGGAGCAGCCCTTTAGAACAGCAGATAATGATTTTTGAGAAACAGTCAAGTCTCTGGAGTCAAAAAAGAAAGATAGGTTAAAAAAAAAAGTAAAGTAACACAGTTTGGAATGAAAGTTTCAATTTAGGTTTACACATCTGCAATCAAGGAAGACAGCCCCTGGGATATGATTAAGATTCAGCCCAAATAGTATTCCTATATAATAATAGGAATAAATGGAAAGCACATTATGGATATGCTAATATTGTAGGGAAAATTGAAATACTGGACAATGTTACTTGTGTAAGTGCAGATACAACAATTGCAACAAAATAAAAACACACTTTGGGAATTAATAGTGAAAGTGTTCTGATTAAATTCATTCTTGATTTTGTCTGATGATGAAATTCTGTAAGTATAAGGTATTGTTCCAAATTTCAGTTTGAGTACGACCATCCTAGCTAAACTCTCCCTGCAGATGAAGGCTGAATTAGTTTTCTTCAGCTGTTATCCTCAGCTGCTGTGCAATTTTGTGGTGAGTTATTAAACAGCTGTTGCATTCTATTGAAGTGGTACCTTCATCGCATTCATAAAAGATAATTGTATTATGTTATGGAGAATGTGGATCTTAGTGAAAGAAATCGAAACCAGTAGAAGCTCCTGTTCATATCAGTGGAGTGACAGTGATCTAATAGAGATCAGAGTTCTGGGTTATGTATTTGTAACATATATATCACTGAACACAAAGCCCTATCCTTCTTAAACAGTTGAAGCTGTGAGCGCCGACATAGGGTTTTGGTTGTATGGCTATTCTGGAATATTTTGAAATGAAAATGGAATCAAAGTATATTATGTTTTTATGAATATTTAATATTCATAGAAGCTTAATGTGGTGACATGTGCTTTGTTTACTCTGAACAAGGATAGACATTACCTTTCACTTCTTTGTATTATATATTCATAGGACTAGATGCTATTCTTTGTCATTATTTTATTATTTATGTAGTTTCTAGAAATCATGTAGCCTTTTTAGTGAGTTTCTCATTTTCACATATAGTTGCCATTGTTTGTTTGAAAAGCTGTAGGTAGGAAATGCATTATGCGCTGCTCCATCAGGTTCAAAACAATTTTCAGGTAAATGTTCATTTACTGTACTTGTGACAAGCATGCAATGAACCTATTGACAGTCTTTTAATTCAAACAAGAAATGTATTTTGTGAGTAAGGCTGCAAGTGGAACACTCTTTTCTGCTGTAGGTCTCTAGTGCATTCTTAATTTATTTCAGGTATCAATCCCTTATTCACAATTCAAAACAAACTTCTTAGATTGTCCCACTTCCCATTTCCCCTGTAACAAGAGTTCTGTAATTAACTGAGATCATATTGCTAAACAAGATGTCAGAGATTCTTTTGCACAGTTAATACTATGTAGCAGAATGTGACTATCTAATCAGATCAAGGGTCCTACTTTATGGTTTGAACTAGAGCAGCATCTTGTCATGATCACTTAGATACACATTCCTAAACTCTGAGTAGGATGGTGTAGCTTAGATTGACAGCCCCTAAATCCGGTATTTTTGTAAAGGAAGTGGTCTCAAACAACTCAAACACTGCAGTGTTTAAGCTTTACCCAAATGGTAGTATATGAACACTGTGTATGAGCTATGAGCCCCTGCAAGTCTTTCAGTGGTCTCATCTCTCTCCAAAACAAAAGTTTACACTGCTTATACATCACATGCCTTTCCCAAACAATATTTAGTCTAACATTTAGCTTTCACTGTTAATTACAGGTTATGGGACAATATTTAACCATTATCTGTTATATGTTCTTTCTTTACTTAAACTCTATACTAAGTTTCTTTTCTCTGCCTAGTTGCTTTTGTTGTTTTTTCTTTTTATTTGTTTGGTTTAAACTGGCAGTTCTTTATTTTTGTTCATCTATAAACTATCCTTGCTTTTCCTTTTTTTTTTCACTTCTTTTGCTCAAGTTTATGCTTCGGATTTAAGAGAAATGTTTCTCAGTCCAACTTCCAGTGACGACTTCTGTAATTGTTTTCATCCATTTTCATTTGGTGTACTTCAGTATTTATCCATGTCACATCTTGATTGCATTGCCTGTTAGTTAAAGTTTGAATGTATTTTTTTTCAACTTTATCTTTTCTTTTCCTCTCCCTTTTTCCCCCAGGGTTTCATCACATCAAATCCATAACCTCATTTTCCTGGTGTCAAGAGCACCACTACCTTCAAAATTATTTTGCACAAAAGTGAACCTGTAGAATCAGTGTTAGCTAGAATCTGTCACAGTTCTCTATGCAGAAGTCATCCAGTCAACCAAGGTTTCGTGTCGTTTACAGCTGTTTTCCATAGTTCTTCAAATTTTATGGCATATATCTTAAAACTGTTCACCAGGTTCTGCTCTCTTGCTGCTCCAATCAATAGCTGCACTGCACAGCTTGGTAGAAATCTTTAAGTGTGTGTGTGTTTGCGTGTATGATTCCTGATTCCTTCTTTTTTGTGTTAAAATTGTTGTGTTGCTTTTTTGAAGTTCCAAAAGGTAGCCTTTGCATACATAACCCTATTTCTTATCACAGCCACCTTCGTCTTCATTCAAGTTTTGAGTCAAACCCATTCTCTGAAAGATACTTCTGGTGAAAAAAAAAAAAATGCTTATATGGGTATCTTGGATTTGTCTTCATGATTCAAAATGTAAATGTCCATGTATTGTTATAATTCAGTGATGAGAGATGTATAATTATGTACAGAATGATATAAATATAATGGACTGTGAAACCTGCCTGAAGGATTCTGAGGCCTTGTAGAAGGGTGCAGATGATGCTGTTATCTTTCTTTATTGCTGGCTTCCTGTGTTTTCCCGTGAGGCCATAATTTTGGTAGTCAAAACCCAATGGAATTTTCTAGTGACATTCCACCTATTTATTGACTCTAAAATTGCACCTACACATTGTCTGCTACTCTTGAGAAATACCAGAAATTTACTAAGAAATAAAACTTGGAGAAAGTTAGCATCAAAAATTTAAATACATAAACCTTAATTTTAATATTCAAGAGAATGTTCATGTTGAAATTCCTTGGTGTTGCTATAAAACACACATTCCAGCTTTTTACTTTCTTCCAAAACCACTTTTTTTCCTCAACGATTGGAAGGTTTAGTTCCTTGGTTAGGGACAGACAGAGAAGTTGAAGGGAAATGCTGGGCCAAGTCCCTTGTAAGGATCCTCCTTTCTCTGCCCTTGGAGACAAGTACAACTAGAAGAAAACAAAAAGATCCCAAGGAAACAGCATGTAGTTTTTGTATTTATTTAATCTGTCAAATAATAAAAAAAAGAATTGTTTGTGCATAGTCCCAGTGAGGATGTATTTTGGTGGTGTTTCAATGCATTTTCTCTATTACTAAGGCCATTTGCTTTTTTTAGTGGGACTTTTGAACTTGGAGTGAACACCACTGCTTTTTTTGGACATGCTCAATTTGTACATTTTACTACAGACGCAAAAACCTGGGCATAATTACTGAGAAGATAAATCTGTATTTGCATTACATGAATAAACATTCATCTGAATTTCAAGCTGAGGCTCACCACAGATTCTAATTAATGACAAAAATATGTAATATGATAACGTATTTCTTTCCTGATATATCTTTCCTGGAGAAATTTCATGGCAGTTAAAGTTAATTGTTTTTTTCATGGAAAATTGCCATATTCCTAGAAATAGCCTAGAATCAAATTCTAACAAAAGCACACTCAAATGTGTACTTAAAGTATATACTTAAAGTGACCATAGCTGTTTCCAGATCTAGGAGGTGTTTTCCCAGACAAACTGCAAAACCTGAAGATATTTATTAAATAAAAAAGAAGGGGGGGGGGGGGGGAAGAGAAGCAGGGGAAGGTTAAAAAAAGAAGTAGAGAAATAGTTTGAATTTATGGAATGAATTTCTTTTGTAATTTCTTTGTGAGACTGAAATCAGCATAGATAGACCAGGAAAATAACATCTGAGCCTTATTCAGTGACACCTATGCAATTTTTCCCTAACTGTAATGGGTTTTGTGTTAACTGTACGGCTGATTTCTCACAGTGTTGTTTTCTAGGTTATGACCCACTTTATTTCCTATAGATCTTGGATGTATCCAGCTGCCAGATCTAGGGTTTAGGATGTGTCCTGCTGCAGACTTACCTCAGTACATTAGTGAGGATGACTCTAATCTTACAGATTACATAGGCAGGCAGAAACATTTGGATGTCTCACTCTTTAAAGGCTGGCAAATGAAGGCTGGTTAAATGAACTTGGCAGCCCTCTCATTTCACTTGCTGGAGGTGTTTAACAGAAATTATTTTAAACACATTTGACATTATGTGACTTGTAACAATATGTTGCAAGCCCAGTGGGTTAAAATCTTAACTGAAGTGGTTGAGAAAATTGTTTGAGAATTGCATTTTATAGAGTAACTTGTTTTCCATGATGCACAATAGCCTGAACCCACTGTGATCCAGCCAAGGAGCCCTAAACCAAGACTGATAGATGTTTATAAAAAATTACTGGAAATAAGGGAATATTTGAAGGCAGAGAGGAAACAGAAGGAATTAAGATGAATAAGATAAAGAGTTGTTCAGTATCATAAAATAGTAATTTGTAAAAATGGATAAAGGACGAGGAAGGGTCTGAAGCACTAATTGTTGATTGCCATGCATTGCGCATGGCTGAGATTTGGATAAATGAAAACTTGTTCTAAAGATGGTGCCTTCTTAATCAAAAACAAGAAGCCAGGATGTATTTTGTTTGTTTGGTTGGTTGGTTTTTTTTTTGGGGGGGAGGCATTGTGTTTTTTTGTTTCTTTGTTTATATGCTTAACCTTTTGCAACAGCAAAAAA